CCCGCTGGGGTGCCGACTGCGCACTGGAGAGGGGCGAAGTAGGCGGCCATCTTGTTTTTGTGCTGCATGCACACTGCTCTCGTCACCCATCACCGCACTGCATCCCCCACCGCCACCGGCCGCACCTTGCCGTGCCTTTTCGTTAGTGCCATCAGATTCGCGGTGCCGAGCAGCTTGGTGACAAGCTGTGGGAGCTTCGCGCTCAGCAGCCGTCTGATGATCTTGGGGAAGGGGATGCGCTCCTCTCCCTGCCGGAGCCCATGCTTCGACAAGTTGAGGTAGCCCAGCAGATGCTCGAACCGCCAGCCGGACGGCCCTGGCGCTGCGCCTTTTGCTGCTGAGCGGAGTGCCTTCGCGAGCATCTTGGGTGGGACGTCGAGTGCCTCGGGCTCCACGTTGACGTCCGGCTTGGTGACGGGCGTGTTGCGTGAGGGGTGGAGGGCTTGCAGCTTGGCGTATGTCTCCTCCGTGGCTGGGGCGACTGGGGTGGAGTCCAGCTTCTTGGCCGCTCGTGTGAATTCCCCAAGCTCCACTAGCCGCTTGGCTGTCATGAACGCCCTCTGCGTCGCCGTGTCGTGGGTGGGGTGGGCGGGTGTGTGGTGGATGGCCGGTATCGTCTCGGTGCTCTTTAGTGCGAAATCGACCCCCTCGCGTAGCAGCAGCTCCCATTCCCCCTCCCAAAACAGCCGAAACCTCCGCTCCCACTTTCTCCTCCCTCCCGCCCCTCCTCTCTTGGTTGGGAACAGCAGCAACGAAGGGATGTACAGAAACAGGAGGAACCCGTCGTCCAGCTGGTTGGTGTCGCCGTCGGGGCTGACCAGCGCGTCTGCCGCCTCTATCACGTCAGCCATGTCGATCCTTGCCTGTGGGAGGATCCTTGCCTCCGTCGGGATGCCCATGCGCCAGGCCGCCGAGTGCTGCTCCTCTGTGCGGTTCCTCAGGAGCGCCAGCCCTCTCTCCGGGATCGTCTTGGTCGGCCCACGCGTGCCGTTGCGTGCTGATGCGGCGCGGCGGCTGCCGCCCCCATTGTGGTCTCCCCCATCGCCGCCCCCACCCGTGTCGTCGCCTGGCTCGTCGGGGTCCCCGCCATCCCCGCCTCCTCCTCTCGGCGCGACACGCCCTCGCCCCCCGCCTCGGCCCCTCCCCCGTCCTCTCCCTGACCCTCTGCCGCCTCGTCTGCCGCCTCTGCCCCCTCTCGTGTTGCTGGCATGGTTGTTTGCGTTTGTTGGCGGCTGAGGGGGTCGTGGAGGTGGTTGAGACGGTTGAGAGGGCTGTTGAGAGGGCTGTTGGGATGGTGGGGCCAGGCCTGATGGGCGACCTCTGATTGCCACCCATATGTGTGTCGGCGGCCGTGCTGGTTGTCCTGGCGGCGCCCCTCTCTGCATCGGGATCCATACGCCCGCCTCATGCCTTGGGGCGGCGTTTCGCTGGGTTCTAGGGCGCCAGGCGAGTGTGGGGGCCGGTGGTGGTGCGTCTGGCTGCGTGGTGGGGCGCCGCTCCTGTCGTGTGTGGGGCGGAGGGTGTTGCGCGGGGGGTTGGGATCGATGCCGACACTCACCCGAGTCAGAAGCACGAGGGTGGATTGAGTGTGGGTTCGATTCCGATAGGAGGTTTTCTTGCTGTGAGCCGCCCCGCTCCTCTTGGCTCTCGTCCTGGTCCTCTTGCCCCTCCCCGTACTGATAGTCTCCCTCCATGTACTCGCACTCGCCCTCAGGCGCTTCTCCCTCTTGCACGCTGCTTGAGGCGGGCTGTGGGGCGTGTTGCTGGCTCACGGGTCGCCAGACGCTCCTGCTGGTCCTCGGTGGTGTGTCCGGGTGGGCGGCGGACCGTTGGGTGGGTGCGACGGCTTCTGGCCGGGCGGCTTGTTGGCTGGTGGGCCGCCAGACGCCTCTGATAGGTCCTGGTGGTGCGGGCGGCTGCGTGGCGGGCTGCTCAGTGGGGGCGGTTGCCTCTGGCGGGGCGGCTGGCCGGCTGACGGGCCGCCACTCCCGTCCGCTGCGCTGCTGGGGCTGCTGTGTGGCGGTCTCGTCTGTGGCTGCCTCCTCCTCGTCGATGGTCTCCAGCGCTTGAAAGGGGTTGGGCGACCGCATGGCTGATTGTCCGCCCC